GTTGTATCCTTTCACCATATTTATTTAATCTGTATGCTGAGCAAATAATTCCAGACACTGGATTACATGGAAAAAGAACATGGCATCAGCTTTGGAGGAGGACTCATTAACAACTTGCAATATGCAGATGACACAACCTTGCTTGCTGAAAGTGAAGAGGACTTGAAATACTTACTAATGAAGATCAAAGATCACAGCCTTCAGTATGGATTGCACCTCAATGTAAAGAAACCAAAAATGCTCAAACAGAAACAATAACAGCATGATGAATAGAGAAAAGATTGAAGTTGTCAAAACTTCATTTTTCTTGCAGCTGTCACAAAATCAAGTGATGCATTACGTTAGACAGATCTGCAGCAAAAGACTTCTTTAAAGTGTTAGAAAACAAAGATATCAGTTTGAGGACTAAGATGCACGTGACCCAAGCCATGTTATTTTCAATAGCCTTATGTTGTTGTTAGGTGCTGTTGAGATTTTTCTGGCCTAACACTGCCTGGTCCTGTGCCATCCTCACAATTGTTGCTACACTTGAGTCCATTAATGCAATCACCATGCCAATTCATCTCTATGAGTGTCTCCCTCTTTTTCTCTGTCCCTCCACTTTACCAAGCGTGATGTCTTTCCCCAGGGACTGGTCCCTCCTGATGTTTTGCCCAAAGTATGAGCGATGAGGCCTGCCCATCTTGGCTTCTAAGAGCCATTCTGGTTATACTTCTTCCAACACAGATTTTTTTTTTTTTTGGTCTTCTAGTAGTCCGTGGTACCTTTAATGTTATTGTCTAGCACAACTCAAATACATCAATTCTTCTATGGTCTTTCTTATTCACTAATATGTGAATTATGTCCAACTTTCACATACATATGAAACTACTGAAAATACCATGGCTTGGATCAGGCTCACTTTAGTCCTCAAACTGACATCTTTGCTCTTCAACACTTTAAAAAGGTCTTGTGCCGTAGATTTCTTAATGTGATGCGTTGTTTGATTTCTTGACTGCTGTTTCCATGAGTGACAATTGTTGATCCAAGCAAAGTGAAGTCTTCGATAACTTCATTTTTTTTCTCCATTTATCATCTTATTTATTGGTCCAGTGGTGAGGATTTTTGTTTTCTTTATATTTAGGTGAAACCCATTTTGAAGGCTATGGTCTTTGATCTTCATCAATAATTATTTTAAATCTTTTTCATTTTCAGCAAGCAAGATTGTATCATCTACATGTCTCAGGTTGTTAATGAGCCTTCCTCCAATCTTGATGCCATGTTCTTCATATATAATCCAGCTTCTTGGGTTATTTGCTCAACATACAGACTGAATAAGTATGGTGAAAGAACACAACCATGGCATACACCTTTCCTGATTTAAAACCATTCAGTGTCCCCTTGTTCTATCTGAATTACTGCCTCTTTGTCTATGTACGGGTTCCTTGTGAGCACAATGAAGTGTTCCAGAATACTTATTCTGCACAATGCTGCCCTTAGCTTGTCATGATCCACACAATCGAGAGCATTTGTGTAGTCAATAAAGCACAGGTAAACATCCTTCTGGTATTCTTTGCTTTCAGCTAAGATCCATTGACATCAGCAATGATATCCCTCATTCCTTGTTCTTTTCTGAATATGTTTGAACCTCTGGCAGTTTCCTGTCAATGTGCTATTGCAGCTGTTTTTAAATTATCTTTAGCAACATTTTGTTTGCATGTGATATTCATGATATTGTTTAATGATTTCCATATTCTGTTGGGTCACCTCTCTTTGGAATGGGGACAAATATGGGTTCTCTTTCAATCAGTTGGCCAGGTAGCTGTCTTCCAAATTTCTTGGCATAGATGAGTGGCTCAAGCGCTGCATCACTTTGCTGAAAGATTTAAATTTGTATTCCATCAATTCCCAGAGTCTTGTTTTTCATCAATGATTTAAGTGTACTTTGAACTTCTTCCTTCAGTACCATTGGCTCTTGGTCATAATGGTATCTCTTTTTTTTTTTTTTTCATGTTTTATTGTGAATTATAT